AAATGCAAGCGCCACAGTGGACAAGAGAACAATAGCAGAAGGTATGATACCAGGAATATGAACTGGAGAGAACAATAGCAGAAGGTATGATACCAGGAATATGGACTGGAGAGAACAATAGCAGAAGGTATGATACCAGGAATATGGACTGGAGAGAACAATAGCAGAAGGTATGATATCAGGAATGTGGACTGGAGAGAACAATAGCAGAAGGTATGATACCAGGAATATGGACTGGAGAGAACAATAGCAGAAGGTATGATACCAGGAATATGGACTGGAGAGAACAATAGCAGAAGGTATGATACCAGGAATATGGACTGGAGAGAACAATAGCAGAAGGTATGATACCAGGAATATGGACTGGAGAGAACAATAGCAGAATGTATGATACCAATGTAGAGCAGGTGTCGGCCAGCAGAAAGTATGAGCACGTGGTATAAGTGACAGCTTGCCCGGCGCGCTGGTTAAGTTGGTTTAACCAGACTGCGCGGCGACCGCGTGACGAACTCCTTGTGGTCCGGTTTCAGGCCCAGGAGTAGGCAGAAAAGTCACATTTCTCCCAGATTTACCGTATCTATCATGGAATCAAGGCTGAAGGATTGCGATATCCATAGTATCGAGCTACTAGGTTTATGACTCATGGTTTCTGCATATTTAAAACAAAAAGTGGCAGCTGAAAGCAGGAGAGTTGGTGAGAGATCGAGTTTTTTTTTCAGACAGTGCTTGATATGGTAGACATTCAGCAAAGGACATGTTACCTGATGATGAGGGTGAAAAAAAAAACCACCTATTTTTTTTTATGCCTCACTCTGTTGTAAATTATGTCTTCATGTTTAAATAAGAATGATGAACATTTCAGTTCATTAATCTACAGGGTGTTTAATTTAATGTGTGTGTGAGTGTGTGTGTGTGTACGCGTGCGTGTGTGTGTATGTGTGTGTAAACAAACACCTGGTAGGTAGTGACAGCATGCCTTAAACACAAAATCGACTAGGATGAACACAAACATATCACCCAGGTACAAGTTAGGGGTCACCCAGGTACAAGTTAGGGGTCACCCAGGTACAAGTTAGGGGTCACCCAGGTACAAGTTAGGGGTCACCCAGGTACAAGTTAGGGGTCACCCAGGTACAAGTTAGGGGTCACCCAGGTACAAGTTAGGGGTCATCCAGGTACAAGTTAGGGGTCACCCAGGTACAAGTTAGGGGTCACCCAGGTACAAGTTAGGGGTCAGAGCAGCTTTTGTATGTGGCAAAGGTCGTATAACCAGATACTCTGAGCTTTGGCTACAAAGCGACGTAAATTATAAGTACATAATTTGTAAATAGTTTATACATAGTTAATCAATATTGGGTTAACAATGGACGTTGCGGGATACAAAATCATGTGTTTGTCCGGGGACATAAGCGTTTGCCTCTCCCCATTTCCCTTTAGAGTTCTGGGTCAATGCTGTAAAGGTCTCCATGTTCCTGTCTTTAACTCCCCCCCCCCCTGTGTCATTACTGCTGGTCTACTTCTGCCTCTTCTGCATCTGATCTTTCTGGTTTTGACGATATTCCCTAGTGCCTCTCTTCTCATCGTAGGACCACATACATCTGGTTGTCTTGTCTGATCTTTCCTTCTCTTGTTCCACTCCGGGTTTTACCGATATTTACAACCAATGTCTTGTCAAAGGCTACTTCCCATCTGCATTTAAGATTGCCAAAGTGTATCCACATCTAAAATCTGGTTCATTAGATAGTAGTATTCCAGGTAACTATAGACCAATCTCCCTGTTATCATCACTATCGAAACCACTAGAGAAACATATTCATAATGTAACTTTTCAGCACCTAGATCACAACAAACTTATAGTGGATAACCAATCAGGTTTTCGACCAAACTATTCTTGCCATACTGCTTTAACTAACATGATTGAAAAATGGCACCATAATGTTAATGATGAGAAAATATGTGGCGGAGTGTTTATAGACTTTAAGAAAGCTTTTGATATGATAGACCATAACATTCTTAAAAAAAATTAGAAACAATGAAATTTAACCCTAGACTATTACAGTTAATAAAATCCTTTTTGTTAAATAGAAAACAAATAATCTGTTACAATAAATCACTATCGCAAGCCACTGACTTAAATACTGGGGTACCTCAAGGCTCGATTCTCGGTCCTCTGTTATTCAATATCTACATAAATGACCTTCCTTTATGTCTGTCGTCGTCCTGCGATTTATTCGCAGACGACTGTACCATCTATGCAAATGCTCAAACATGTAATTTACTAGAGTCCTAATTACAACAAGAATTAAATAATGTAGTCCAATGGAGCAGTGCAAACCGTATGCAAATAAACATTAATAAAACCAAATCTATGCTCATAACGACCAGGCAAAAACTATACAGTTTAAATTCTCAGAGAACGCTTCAACTCTACATTGGGAGCACTCAAGTAGAAAATGTAACTGAGCACAAGACACTGGGGTTGGTAATTGATGCAAATCTTACATTCAACTCACACGTACAAGCACTTGTGAAACAAACAGCTAAAAAGGTTTACCAGCTTGCAAAAATTAAAAACTTTCTTGATGAACACACAAGAAAGATATTCTATATTTCTCACATCCAGACACATGTAGACTATCGCTCTACAATATGGGATGGCTGTTCCAGCTCTGTTATCAAGCGACTCACATCACTGCAAAAGCGCGCCATTCGCTTAATTAGTAACAATCATGGAACACTGAGCTCCGAAACATATAAAGGTCTTAGACTACTACCGCTTCGTGAACGTTTACTTTTCAATAAGGCAAAATATACTTACAGAATATTATCTCAAAAGGCTCCATGTTACTTATGACCGTTGTTCAAATATAATGAACGCCATAGTAAGCGTCTAAACATATTACACATCCCTAAACCTAGGATAGACCTTTATAAAACAAGTCTGTCATATTCCGCAGCTCAATTGTGGAACTATCTACCACAGCAAATCAAAAGTACCACTAGTCCATATACATACAATCGGAAACTGTTCGAATATTATCTGAGCACCGATTATATGCCCCCATAGAAGATAAAACATATGTGAAAAATAGCGCTCATCTTTCTTAGATTTGTTACAACTAATACGTTTTACTGTAGTTAGAAATGTGCACATTCCAGTGCTTGTATTTATTATTTTGATGCTATTGCTAACTTTTAATATTAATTGATGTGTGAATGAAATGATGTAAGAATGGAGGGAAACCTCGAAGGGCAGAATGTTAGACGGGCCTGCGTGCCCAATTCTTAACCCTTTAAAAATAAAGTTTGTTCGTTCGTTCGTTCGTTCGTTCCCTAGAAGTTATAATCTGGGCACTTGTGGTGTAGCGACTAGACGTTAGCCTGCGAATTCGTAAGTCGTGGGTTCAAATCCGATCTGTGCCGGATTTTTTCTTCAAAACATGACCTTCGCTCCCAGATTGACCCAGCCTTAAATGGGAACCATTTCGGATTTTATTACTAAGAAAGTATTTAACACAAATAGGCAGTCAAAAATAAAAATAAAACACAATTTGATAGCTCTATAAATCATACATGGATTTAATTCTTCAAGTGATATTAAATATAAACTCAGACAATAATTGCATTTTATTCCTGGACACAGGACTGAAAGCCGAAGACAGCTGGATTAGCTTTTATTTATTTATTTATTTATTTTTAAATGGAAAGTAAAGTGCGCTGGAGTTCAATGTTACCTCTTCTTCTTCCGATTGATAGTTAGTTTCAGGTGAATAATTATCACAGTTTTTAGCTAAAGTTTTTCAATGATGTTTTGTTTTGTGAAATATCACTTGTACCAGTGTGATTCTCATCCTCGATGTGGTTATCCTAGACACTGAAATGCTGGGATAAAGAAACAACCTACCCTATCTTAGGTAGATGATTTAGCAGAAATGTTTGAACTTTGCTCAGCACATAGGTTAAAGAACGTTGATCTACATACGCCACTTGTCTCGTGTTGTACGTGTTTGTATTATGTTACGGCATTATCTCCATTCCACAGGGGCCGCCCAAAGACTTGACTGTTTATTGATTGCATGCATGTTCCTAGGCTTTCCATCAAACACACCTTTTTGATTTCTCTTCACAGATCACCGCCTCCTAACTGCAACCGGTACAAGCGGCTGACTGTGCCAGGAATTGGGCCCTGTTGTTGTCGTGCCCCGCCAGAATTAGGTCATGTGTACGTGAGGCCTGAAGGACACAGGTCTCGCTCGTGCTGGAGGTTGTTAGCCAAGCCATGCAGTGGAATAGTTAGCCTCTGCTCATACATGTCATTCAGTCCAGAGGAGTGTGGTCACCCGGGACATGTCACAAGCGACAGTGGTGTGTGTTTATTCAAAAGAATAGTGACAGTTCATGATGAAATACTTTTGATATAAATTTGTTGCTTCAGGAACGGGAATTTTGTTGTGAAAACAAGATGTAGCTAAAGTTAAATTTAAAGCAACTTAAATTGTTCATAAAAGCTATGTTAAATAGTCTTTTTAAAGTTTATAAAACGACCTATGTTTCCTTCAGGAAACACAAAGTCTATTATATGTAGAGATGAATGTTACAAATCTTGAAAAAAGTTACCATATTCTGTGTCTAAAGTGTGCCGCCTCTGGCGGTGCTGGAGTCTTTATAGCCCCACAATACATCGGTCGAAGTGTGTAGTCCTTGTGTGTAGGCTCCTGTTTACACTACATTAGATATATATTGACTATGACGTTTCATTCTGTTTTCGAGTAAAACCATGATATAATGCTTGTACCTCAATACAATCGGTATATGTCTGTAATTTTCGAGCCAGTATGTTCGGACTCAGCGTGCTGGCAGACGACTTAGTTCACGTGTTTTCCGCGAGGTGTTCACGATCTGGAGCCTGTGTGTGAGTTTCCCGTGCCGGAAGGTCCAGGAGCTCGCTGGGGAGGTATGGCACTGATCACTTGTTGAGGACGACGGTTTGCTTAATAAATATGGATTCTCCTGTCGAAGTTTCAAACGAACCGGGCCCTGGAGATTGTGTCAGAGCATGTGTGAGTCTAGCACCGGGAGACGAAGAGAAGACAGGCCGTGCCGGAAGGTCCAGGAGCTCGCTGGGTCTACCTTACATCCAGACAAGAAGCTATCGCAACCACTCCACATCTTCTTTACCATCATCAACATCAACAGCATCCTCGTCAACATTCGCAAACTCTACCGCTTTGCCTCTCAGCATAACCAACGTGACCCATGCCAACAAGAGAGATAATCGCAGCCACTCCGATGACGCTATCTACTGGGTAATGATCTACTCTAACGATGACTCTATTGCCCGCCCGGTTATTATCTCCCCCAACGGGATAGCTCTGGCCCATACAGATGCCAAAGGAAGTTACATATTGATGGCCGTATGGGCCGGTCGAATCCACAATTTTTCTGTAGAAGCCCGCCATATTGGTAGGGTCACGATGTCTGTTGCCCTGGTCGATGTTGTTGGTGACAAGAGAATGCCCCAGGTCAGTATGTAAAACTTTTTTTTTCACTGTCTGTCTCTGTGCTTGTATGTCTTTGTCTGCAATGTATTTCTATCTCTTTTTCTATTTGACTGAATATCATGTATGTCTATCTCTGCTTACAAATCTATACAGAGTTAGCCAACAAAGGCGTATACACAGTAATCACCCAGCAGTGTCACGTGTCTTCATGTAGGTAGTTGTAGTAGTAGTACACCACCAGGACATCACACAAGCGATAAACATCCGATGACACAAAGTGCCACCATGTGGATGAGGATCACCTGTGGAGAGGTCCTGGCTATATTGCGGCCCCTGGCAAGAGCCAGGGTAGGGCTTCAGAATAACGAAAAATTGCATCCCACAAAGGGACGACTAGCTACTATCCTACATGTAGGTTATTTATTAGGTTATACAGTTGCTCAAGGTCATTCCCATGAACCCTTAGACGCTTTTCATAACCACCATACAACTCACAGCTAGTGTTATTTAATCTAAATCTGGCGGAATATGTCCCTAAAAATGACGTTTTGACTCAAGGGCATTTAAGAAAGGTGAGGACCTGTATGTCCCGTCCAGAGTGGCAAGCATCGCATCAGAGGTTCTGGGTAATTATTGTTATGTTTGTGTGTGTGTGTGTGTGTCATGCTGGTGTTTCTGGACACGAACAGACAGATACCAATTAACAGTTCTGAACCACCTGGTGGTGAACAGATGCATAACAAGCTAGACGTTGTAATGATCTGTTTGAAGCAAGTCAACAGTGCTCAGGCACAAGTAGATCATCATGGTCTGATGAATATGGTGCTGCCAGGAGTCAGATCTGGTCGATGCCCAACGCCCAAGGGAAACGCGCTACACATAAAAAATCAGACAGTTACTGGTACCATCGGAACTGTAACTCTGAGCTTACTGGTGAAGATGGAGACAGATCGCTTATAAAACTTCACGAGTGTCGTGATAACTTTTACCAGACAGATAACAAAGAACTTTGATTATAGAGATCAAAAAGAACTTTGATTATAGAGATCACAAAGAATTTTGATTATAGAGATCACAAAGAACTTTGATTATAGAGATCACAAAGAACTTTAATTATAGAGATCACAAAGAACTTTGATTATAGAGATCACATTTAACTTTGAACAGAGAGATCACAAAGAACTTTAATTATAGAGATCACAAAGAACTTTGATTATAGAGATCACATTTAACTTTGAACAGAGAGATCACAAAGAACTTTAATTATAGTGATCACAAAGAACTTTGATCAGAGAGATCACAAAGAACCTTGACCAGAGAAATCACATAGAACTTTGACAGAGAGATCACAAAGAACTTTGATAATAGAGATCACATTTAACTTTGATCAGAGAGATCACAAAGAACTTTGATTATAGAGATCACAAAAAACTTTGATCAGAGAGATCACAAAGAACTTTGATAATAGAGATCACATTTAACTTTGATCAGAGAGATCACAAAGAACTTTGATAATAGAGATCACATTTAACTTTGATCAGAGAGATCACAAAGAACCTTGACCAGAGGAATCACATATAACTTTGACAGAGAGATCACAAAGAACTTTGATTATAGAGATCACATTTAACTTTGATCAGAAAGATCACATAGAACATTGATTATAGAAATCACAAAGAACTTTGATTATAGAGATCACATAGAACTTTGATCAGAGAGATCACAAAGAACTTTGATCAGAGAGATCACAAAGAACTTTGATCAGAGAGATCACAAAGTACTTTAATCAGAGAGATCACAAAGAACCTTGACCAGAGAGATCACATAGAACTTTGATCAGAGAGATCACATAGAACTTTGATTATAGAGATCATAAAAAACTTTGATTATAGAGATCACAAAAAAACTTTGATCAGAGAGATCACAAAGAACCTTGACCAGAGAAATTACATTTAACTTTGATCAGAGAGATCACACAGAACTTTGATCAGAGAAATCACATAGAACTTTGACAGGGAGATCACAAAAAACTTTGATTAGAGAGATCATAAAGAACTTTGACCAGAGAGATCACATAGATCTTTGATCAGAGATATTACATATAGATTTGTCTAGGCAGATCACATTGAGCTCTGTCCTGGAAGGAGATTGTTCTAATTTTAGTTTTGAACGTTGCGGGTTCTTGGATTTAAAAAAAAAAAAAGAATGCGAACAATAGATCCGATTTGGCCATTAAAGCTGACAAGCTCATAATAAACACGACCATTTCTGAGAAAGTAGCATTCCTAGTTGACTAAACATTAAATTAATTTGGAGGAGGAAATAAATCAGAGGGGAAGACATGGTCGCTGGCATTCTAACAGAGACGGTCAACAAATCTGCATACTCGGGTTGCTATGACATTAGTGTTGTGGAGACAAATTCCAACCCGAATACGATACGTATTATTGAAAAGTTGCACGATCTTTCACAATCTATTTCTGGAATTTCTACGACTTGCGATAATTTTTTTTTTTTTTTTTGGCCACTTCTCTTCATTGCGGAGTTATTTAGTGTTTACTTTACATAGCCACTGAAATTATTCAGATTATAAACAATATACTGACACCAACACTAGCAGCAGTGCCGAACTTAAACATTTATAAAGCTCAACAGATTTTGAGGTACCCCCAACACCTTTTTTTCCCCACCTTTTTTCCAACTGCGCCTTTAGACGTACTGGACTTAAAGTGCTAGACCTAACATTTATAGAACAGTCGGCACTCGGTGTGTGATTTGGTCAACATCCCACCGGCCACCTTTATTTCCCATGACTCTATCTGTTTAACACTGAGTCTATCTGTGAGCCAATGCAATTTTAAAAAAAAGGCCGGCAGCATTGGAATTTGAACCCCAACTTTCGGATCCGCGGGCGAGAGTCCAGCCGCTACACCACGCGGCTCTCTATTAAAGGCTCACCTGCGTAAAATAAACACCTGTAAAATGATTTGCCCGAGGAAAGCCGACAACTGAACCATCCGAGACAACGTGAGAAATGATACTGCCCGACAGACTGTGGGAACGACTCCATGTGTCAGCTTCACTCAGAAACAGAAGATTCATTAGTCTGGTCATCTCATTAGAATACAGCCAGAACTACTACCAGCCGAAGCGCTACACATAAGCAGAATTGGAAAGCTAGAGGTCGCCCTAGGAGATATGGACTGATGATATGAACACGGAATGGCAATAGATCAGATAGTGCTCATTAGACAATGGATCGCAGACTGTTCCTCCTCACGTCGCTTAACGGCAAAAGTGAAAAACTGACGATGACGGCTAACTGAAATTGTGACATCAGTGTTCACATCAGGGTTGACATCAGTATGACATCAGTGTTGACACCAATGTTGACCTCAGTGTTGACATCAGTGTTGACACCAATGTTGACCTCAGTGTTGACATCAGTGTTGACACCAATGTTGACCTCAGTGTTGACATCAGTGTTGACATCAGTGTTGACATCAGTGTTGACATCAGTGTTGACATCAGTGTTGACACCAATGTTGACCTCAGTGTTGACATCAATGTTGACACCAATGTTGACCTCATTGTTGACATCAGTGTTGACATCAGTGTTGACATCAGTGTTGACATCAGTGTTGACATCAGTGTTGACATGAGTGTTGACACCAATGGTGACACCAATGTTGACCCCAGTGTTGACATGAGTGTTGACACCAATGTTGACATTAGTGTTGACATCAGTGTTGACACCAATGTTGACATTAGTGTTGACATCAGTGTTGACATCTCTGCGACTTGACACAATTGTTAACAAGCAGCTCCCGTTAATTATGTATAGACATTCTTTTCGAAAGTATATGTTTGTTCAGTTCATATTATTTAAATGTATTGTTACATTCATTTGCCATTCAGCTTAGTATACCATTATTAATATGTTGTAAAACTAGGATTACGCCACTTAACAAACAGCAGTCGTAACCTGGGACTCGTGGTAACTCGGAACAGTGGTTTGTTTGCTTAGAATCATTACACGGAGACAACTGAAGCACACGTTAAGTAAAGTTGCCCCAGTCATTAGATACCCAATGGAGGAGTTAACCATAGGTGGTCAGAGGAGCAGACATGCTCGGAGACACAAGCAAGGAAAATATTGTGATAGTGAAGACCCCCCCCCCCCCCCCACCCCAACACCGCCCCCCCCCCTTTTTTTTTTCTCACTCCAACATAAACAAATTTCGAGACAAAAAGAGGCATTAAGTAATGAGACGATATTGCAGTGTGTGCCGTTGCTCGTGTTTAGTAAAGATTTGATTGGTTCGTTGGTTGGTTGATACAATGAGTAGTTCGATTAATTATTGGTGACTGGATTGTTAGTTGGCTAAGTGGTTGTTTAACAGGATTGCAATTGGTTAAAGTATTAGCCGGTTAGTAGTTCATTGGCTGGCTAGTTGGTTGGTTGATTCAAATACTTGGTGGATGTTTTGTAGATTGTGTGTTATTTTGACTGCTAAATCCTCTGAAATCCTGAAGGTTAAAATAACACTGCTAGTATACCATGTGTAACATATGGTACTCTGTGAGTATACCATAGTTATATTACCTACATTGTAAATACTCCATACATTAAATTGACTTATGTTTGTCTACTATACCTTCAGTAATCTGCCTTGGTTCATTCTATACCTTACTATGATCTCCTGGTGCTTACCATACCTTACAGTGATCTCTCTTGGTGCATACCATACATTACAGTGATCTCTCTTGGTGCATACCATACCTTACAGTGATCTCTCTTGGTGCTTACCATACCTTACAGTGATCTCTCTTGGTGCATACCATACATTACAGTGATCTCTCTTGGTGCATACCATACATTACAGTGATCTCTCTTGGTGCATACCATACCTTACAGTGATCTCTCTTGGTGCATACCATACCTTACAGTGATTTCTCTTGGTGCTTACCATACCTTACAGTGATTTCTCTTGGTGCATGCCATACCTTACAGTGATTTCTCTTGGTGCATACCATTTCCTACAATGATCTCTTTTGGCGCATACCATACCTCACAATGATCTCTCTTCGTGCATACCATACCTCACAATGATCTATCTTCGTGTATACCTGTAATCAACTATTGTTGGCGGAATCTATCGTCGCCTGGAGATCCCCTATATCCTTCCAAATAACTTACAGGGCTCGAATTAAATAAGTCTAGGGGAATTATAACGGTCCCTGAGTTCTGGAAAATTGAGGAAGGAGAATACAGAAAGTGAAAGAATAGGGTGAATCCCCGGAAATTTTCTAAAGAAATTCAGAAAACAACCAAAGTCAAAACTTTGTAAATTTAACTCAAATAAATTGCAATGAACAATCTTTAGTCTACCTAAGAAGTTAAAATTGATAGGATGAAATCGATAAATGGAGTTTCTAAATAACAACTGTATTGATAAATATTGTTAGGAATTTTAACAATTTTAAATTAAGAAACAAAAGAAACAATTAATAGTTCATCATACACCACAAAGTTTCACAAATAGTCAATAACACTCAGCTTTACGATATACGGGATGTGTCCAACTGCAGCTTTTCTGGGAGGAATGTACAAAGCTATGACTGCGACTGTTATAGTCCTCGCCTAACTGCGAAATTCATCCGTGAGATCTCGGTTGTTCATTCTATACCGTCTGGTTCCCATTTCACAAGGGAACAGCTCACGATCCACAGGTAACAGTGATGGTGGTTCACAATCCACAGGTAACAGGCATACAGGAAACGGGAATACGGGAGCACGGGAACCTGCAGAATACATCATTCAGCCCTGTGTTGAGCATTATGTCGACACATCTGGAGCAGGTGGAGGTGTTGCGGTGTCTGTGGTGTTTGTCAGAGTTAAAAGAAAGAAAGATCAAGGTTCATATGTTGTCTTTCTCTACAAGTAAATCAAAATTATACATCTCCACCCTATTATAATATGTTGGTTTATACCTATCTAATTTATGGCACGATCATATAAAACTTGACATAATTAAGCGGACACACATTCGCCTGCGGATTGGACAATTATTAGTTCGAGTCTCAAAACCCAGGTCGACTTCGCCTTAACGGACACCAGGTATAGTAATGGGAAGTAAAGGCGGCAGGTGTGACGTTGACCACATCAACACCTAGGTACCACTTGGTCTATAAAACATAGGCCAACCCGATATGCCCACAAAGTTGACGACTTTTACTCAAATTATCTGTTGCATAATATAATAAACATAAGCAATGTAATGTATACCCGACTGATGATACCACATGGCACAGGATAATGGTTTTTACTATAAGATCTTTACGCAAGTAGACCGAATGAATATAAGAGTGACAGAGGGAAGAAGGGTTCGCTATTGAATAGTCCTAACGGGGAATAGTAACTTTGAGGACGTCATAATATGTAAGGACTAGTGAATTGTCCAACGGACAAGTATCAAGGTTGATGAAGTCACGGACTATTTATACAATGGTAGAATATAGAATAGTAGGATCTCAATAACATATTTTAGGATACAGCTAAGGCTTATAGGGGATCTCGGCTCCCTACCATTATAAATCTCACCTGAAATTGTATATGGTATTTTTTTTATTGTGGGTGTTAGGCCGATGGTATGGCTGGCAATCGTTCTGTGTTGTGACGAAATTAGATCTCCTAGTAACACCACAAAACGTCATAAATTATGTGCGCCTTTGTACCTTTTTATTCTTTTAGCGTCTATGTTTAAATATATTTATTTTACGTGCGCAATTCTTTTAACTAAAACTTGCAATTAACTCTTGCCGGACCTAAATTATCCTCCCGTTTTGTCACAATACCATACCTTACAATGATCTCTCTTGCTGTATTCCATACCTTACATTATTCTCTCTTGCTGCATTCCATACCTTACATTATTCTCTCTTGCTGAATTCCATACCTTACATTAATCTCTCTTGCTGAATTCCATACCTTACATTAATCTCTTTTGCTGTATACCATACCTTACAATGATCTCTCTTGCTGCATTCCATACCTTACATTAATCTCTCTTGCTGTATACCATACCTTACATTGATCTCTCTTGCTGCATACCATACATTACAATGATCTCTCTTGCTGTATACCATACCTTACATTGATCTCTCTTGCAGCATACCATAATTTACAATGATCTCTCTTGCTGCATACCATACATTACAATGATCTCTCTTGCTGCATACCACACCTTACATTGATCTCTCTTGCTGCATACAATACATTACAATGATCTCTCTTGCTGCATTCCATACCTTACATTAATCTCTCTTGCTGCTTTCCATACCTTACATTAATCTCTCTTGCTGCATTCCATACCTTACATTAATCTCTCTTGCTGCATTCCATACCTTACATTAATCTCTCTTGCTGCATTCCATACCATACATTAAAATGATCTCTTCTGGTGCAAACCATACATTACAATGATCTCTCCTGATGATACCATACATTACAATGATCTCTCCTGGTGATACCATACATTACAATGATCTCTCCTGGTGATACCATACATTACAATGATCTCTCCTGGTGATACCATACATTACAATAATCTTTCCTGGTGATACCATACATTACAATGATCTCTCCTGGTGATACCATACATTACAATAATCTCTCCTGGTAATACCATACATTACAATGATCTCTCCTGGTGATACCATACATTACAATGATCTCTCCTGGTGATACCATACATTATATTGATCTCTCCTGGTGCAAACCATACCTTACATTGGGCACTCTGAGTGCAAACCATACCTTACATTGTTCACTCTGAGTGCAAACCATACCTTACATTGGGCACTCTGAGTGCAAACCATACCTTACATTGGGCACTCTGAGTGCATAAGATGCATTTTATTGACCATTCTACATGTATACGACGATTTACAATCACTACTTTGTAACCTTAAACTGACCACTTCATGTGTACACCAAACCTTAAAACTGACCATTTCGTGTGTGCACCATACGTTAAACTGACCACTCTGTGTTACATCATGACTTACACTGATCACTCTTTGTAAACATCATATCTTAACTGATCACTATCAGTGCACACCCTGACTTAAACTGCCCACTCTAGGTGTATGAACCTTTACTCAAACTGACCGATCTGTCCACTCTAGGTGTATACACCTTTACTCAAAATGACCCCTCTGTCCACTCTAGGCTAGCTATGTCCAAGCAGTGGCCGCCTCCCAGTACCCAGTGACGGCAGTACGGGGTGAGAGGATCGCTGATCTGGTCTTCAACATCTCTGCGGCCACCATCGCCATCATCATCAGCTTCGGCATCGGCGGGGTCACGGACACGGACAGTCTGAAGCGGCAGATCAAGTTCCCTGTTCCCTTAATCATTGGATTTTGTTGCCAGTTTATCATCATGCCGGTGGTAAGATAATATCTGTCTGTCTGTCTGTCTGTTCAGTTCATCATAATACCGGTGGTAAGAATTTATGTGTCTGTCTGTCTGTTGTCTGTCTGTCTGTTCAGTTCATCATCATGCCGGTGGTTAGATTATATGTGTCTGTCTGTCTGTCTGTTCAGTTCATCATTATGCTGGTGGTTAGATTATATGTGTCTGTCTGTCTGTCTGTCTGTTCAGTTCATCATCATGCCGGTGGTAAGATTATATGTGTCTGTCTGTCTGTTGTCTGTCTGTCTGTCTGTTCAGTTCATCATCATGCCGGTGGTTAGATTATATGTGTCTGTCTGTCTGTTGTCTGTCTGTCTGTTCAGTTCATCATCATGCCGGTGGTTAGATTATATGTGTCTGTCTGTCTGTTGTCTGTCTGTCTGTTCAGTTCATCATCATGCCGGTGGTTAGATTATATGTGTCTGTCTGTCTGTCTGTTCAGTTCATCATTATGCCGGTGGTTAGATTATATGTGTCTGTCTGTCTGTTGTCTGTCTGTCTGTTCAGTTCATCATCATGCCGGTGGTTAGATTATATGTGTCTGTCTGTCTGTCTGTTCAGTTCATCATTATGCCGGTGGTTAGATTATATGTGTCTGTCTGTCTGTCTGTCTGTCTGTCTGTCTGTCTGTCTGTCTGTTCAGTTGATCATCATGCCGGTGGTAAGATTATATGTGTCTGTCTGTCTGTTGTCTGTCTGTCTGTCTGTTCAGTTCATCATCATGCCGGTGGTAAGATTATATTTATTTGTCTGTCTTTTCAGTTTATTATCATGCCTATGTTAGATTATGTCTGTCTGTTCACCGTCCTGTCATTGGTAGGATTCTGTATGCCCATCTGTCTGCCTGTATGTTTCGTTCATCATTATGCCAGTGGTGATTTTGTCTAAACGTCTGTCTGTCTGTGTAGTTCATCATCATGTCCGTGTTAAGATTGTCTGTCTGTTACGATCATCGCCATGCCCGCAGTATGAATATGCCTGTCTCTTTATTTATCAATTTCCCTAGAAAAATTATGTCTGTCTTTCTCTTTATCTGTTCATCATGTCCCATGTGAGATTCAGTCTGTCGATTTATCATGCTTGAGGTGAGATTCGGTCTGTTCATCATTCCCCACGTGAGATTCAGTCTGTCTGCTTATCATGCTTGCGGTGAGATTAAGTCTGTCTGTTTATCATGTTTGGGGTGAGATTCACTCTGTCTGTTTATCATGCGCCAGGTGAGATTCACTCTGTCTGTTTATCATGCGCCAGGTGAGATTCACTCTGTCTGTTTATCATGCGCCAGGTGAGATTCACTCTGTCTGTTTATCATGCTTGGGGTGAGATTCACTCTGTCTGTTTATCATGCGCCAGGTGAGATTCACTCTGTCTGTTTATCATGCGCCAGGTGAGATTCACTCTGTCTGTTTATCATGCGCCAGGTGATATTCAGTCTGTCTGTTTAACATGCTTGAGATGAGATTCAGTCTGTCTGTTTATTATGCCCCATTTGTGATTCAGTCTGTATGTTTATCATGCACCAGGTGAGAGTCTGTTTATCATGCCCCAGGTGAGAGTCTGTTTATCATGCCCCAGGTGAGAGTCTGTTTATCATGCCCCACGTGAGTTTCAGTCTGACTGTTTATCATACCCTAGGTGAGATTCAGTCTCTATATCTATCAGTTTGGGTCTTTATCATGCAGATGGTAAAATTATGTATATTCGTCTCTTACTTCATTCCGTTTTTATTTAAGTGGTTAAAAAGCTATTTGTCTGCCTGTAGAATAAGGTGATAGAAATGTGGCCAACCAGGGCATGTTGACCTGTGCTCCCAGGTGGGCACAATCTAAAATGGGTCATCATCTTAATCAAGTTCCACTTCTGTCGTTCAGCGTTGCGAGGAAGAACAGTTTGCGATCCATTGTTTGATAGGCAGCAATGGCTATTGTCATTACGTGTTGATGTAAACGCTCTTTAATGTCATCAGTCTATATTTATCTAGGGCGGCCTCTTGCTTTCACTTCAGATCCTTTCACGTGTAGAGCCTGTGTTGACAGTTGTTATGGCTGTATTCTTGCTAGATGACCAAACCATTCGATCTTCTGTTTCTCGGTGAATTTTCTGTGTTGTTCCCACAGTCTGTCTGAAAATATCATTTCTAACTCTGTCACGGATGGATGAGTATAAATGGGTACAATGATTAAATGTCCAGAGATACAATATATATATATATATATATATATATATATATATATATATATATATATATATATATATATGGGGATTTTTCACCATAACGAAACCATTTACCCGTTAGGGTCGTTTGGGTGTTTATATGGAAGCAGTTGCACAACAAAATCCTGCAATCTTTCTCTGTCTTCGCTTGTTCAACAAGTGTTTAATAACTTAGTTATCTCCATTTCTTGATTCCAGGTTCTTCTTTGCCCTCTTCTTCGACTACCCCCAATGTTCCTTGAAGTACAGTCTCTGCAATCGAATAATGTCTGACCATGTTCCTGAACCTAGCTAGCTTGCAACGTTTCAACACTGCCAAGAGAGGCTCCTGATGTCCTGCAAATTTGTATATTTGTCTCTGACATATTTGTTATTTGTGTTTATTTTTAAATAACTAAAATGCGTCTGTAACATTTACATTTGCAAGCCTGAATCCTCCTTTCTGTTTTCACAGCGAGCGTCCAGCTGTCACATCCAAACAAGAAAATAGACAATACTAGTGATGTTATATGTGGAAATTTACTGCGATGATGATTTTGCTCTTCCATACCATATTCACCTGGAACATGTCGGCTGTTGCCATATTAATAAAGTTATCACTATATGCTCCGTACACCAGCGGCTTCAAGTGGTTACTTCGTTTTTTTTTTTTTTTTAACCCACACAGAGCCTGTAAAGTTTTTAACGTGAATTCACTATTATCATCCCTTGCTATGAAGGCAGCAAAGTGAGTCAATGTTGTTAGATGGGTTATTTAATATACAAGGTAACATATTTCTTCACATAACACATTTGACATCATTTCTGGGTTGGTTCCAGGGGTAAGTTAGACCCTCTGCTCCATGTCGCAAAAGTCGACTGATTAAGCGTGTTTCTTTTAAAGTTGCAGTGCGTCTGCCTGAGATGTCAGGAACCAACAGTTTGTATTTAAATAAGCCAGATCTGTAAAACGGATGTGCATGCAAAACTCAAATTATGGAACAAGACTAAATTCCGGAAGTGGACGAACAACCAGAACTGTCTGCTGGAGTTTACAACCAGTGAATCGCGAAAAGGAAAAAAAAAACATGACGTCTATAGATGTGTAACAAGGGTTCGGAACACCATGTACCTTAACTTGTGTCCAAGAAGATATGACGTCAAAATTGAGTAACAAGGGTTCGGAATACCATGTACCTTGACTTGTGTCCAGTTATCAGTCGTAGACAATAATTTGTTGGAATTAACACCCCAAATATACACACTAGACATGTACAGTTAATTCGGAACGTAATAATGCGATCTTCCCACCGATACACCGGTGCCATTTTTCCGTGAAAAACCCCCACTGTTGAACGCTAAACAAAACATGTGCTCCATTTTTTCGGTATTATATAAATATTCATGAGGTCGATTGTTTCTGTTAGCGTCGGAAATAACATAAGGCGACCGGGGAGGGAAGGTGTGCCGATGAATGGACCCACTACCCGCAATAATGTTTTGAATTTCTCCTTGCCCGACGTAAAAGGGTTTTTCTTTAATCAAAATTGGAGCATGAGAAAGGGAAGCCATTGATCGCTAGCCGATTGATAGCACCAGGGTAGATTACCATAACAAAGCAGAGAGTTGGGGATTTGTTTGCATTTGTTGAAACACCATTGTGGACAGCAGGGAGAGTTGTCATTTCTGGCAGGCCTAATGAGGTGTGAGGCTTTATTTGTTCTTTCACCACCCAGCAACTCACGTACGTTGTTTGATTACTCTACAAGTTTATGTCTCCCCTACCCCCCCCCCCACCCCACCCCACCCAAATGCTGGTGGCTGAGGTATGTAAAAGTAAGGGACACTTGTCCACCCCTCCAGCATACTGGGCATATAGGGCTAGATGTATATTTTACAGACCAATTAGCACTTGACCGCTTTACTTCCCATGACTTTACCTAGTACCCATTTAGGGGTGGGTCGACCTGGGAGCCAAGGTCATTTTTAATACCTAAAATTCAGCTCCGTCAGGACTTGAACCCATGACCGTCGAATCCCCAGGCGAGCGTCTAGCCGCTACACCACGGCAGCTGGGGGCTGATAGAGCTAAGGTAATCTATCGCTGTATCTATGTGTACCGGTAGTTTGCCTTCCTGGGCAAAGATACTGCTTTACAATAATCGCGGACATTAGCAGTAATTGTCAGCTGCGGTGAGAAAAAGAGTTCTTAAAGACTATATAAAGCCAATCCTGTTATACTGAAGTGAATCATGGCAGTTAGCCGATTAGTCAAAAATTATGTGAAAGCAGCAGAAGTCTGGTTCGTATAGACGAATAATGAGATCACTATTGACAAATAACAAGAGTAATGAAGATGTCTCGCGAGAAGTTAGCTCACGTTAAGAACTGATTACTCTCATTAGAAGAACACAATTTCATTACTTGGTCATGTCATGGGCCAGAGTTCATCGGGACAGTGGACAATTGGGAGAGATGATTAGGAATTACATGAGACAGAAGGATGTGGATGGACATGACTACCAACGCCATTTGACATGGACTATCAGAATGAGCATAATGACCACTACAATCCTAACCATTAAATTAAAGATGAGAAGATCGACTTCATGGCTCTTGATGGGATCAATCCTGGCTCAGTCTTCCCTGATCTACCCCGAGCGCGTTAGCTACCGACCGTGGTTTCAGAAAGATAAAACCAGATGTTCCATTATTTTATCCCCCCTCCCCCCCCCCCCCTTTCCAAAAAAAAACCTGATTGAAAGCTTTCTATCAGAAGAAGC